ACCAAAACAGCCTTCTATCAGCTTAAGAACATATCCAGAGTGAAGGGTTTTATGTCTCAAACAGACCAGGAGAAGTTGATTCATGCTTTCATCTCCAGTAGACTCGACTACTGTAATGGTCTTCTGACTGGACTCCCACAAAAAAGCATTAAACAGCTGCAGCTCATTCAGAATGCTGCAGCTCGAGTTTTAACCAGAACAAAGAGATCAGAGCACATTACTCCAGTTCTAAAGTCTTTACACTGGCTCCCAGTCAGCTATAGAATAGATTTTAAAGTTCTGCTACTACGTCTACAAATCACTGAATGGTTTAGTTCCAGAATACATGAGTGACATCTTAGTAGAATACAAACCCAGTAGGGCTCTGAGATCTACTGACTCAGGTCAGATAGTGAAGCCCAGAGTTCAAACTAAACATGTTGAAGCAGCTTTTAGCTGTTATGCTGCACAAAACTGGAACAAACTACCAGCTAAACTGAAATCAGCCCCAACTGTGAACATTTTTAAATCCAGGTTAAAAACACTTCTCTTCTCCTGTGCTTATGATTGAGCTTGTTCAAAGCACTTTAAATTGTAAATTTTAACTGCACTATGTCCTTTTAAATCATGATTTTATGCTGCTCTTATAGTATTTTATGTCTTTCTATTCTTCTGTAGTTGTTTTTATTTATTTATTTTTTATTTATTTTTAAATGTTTATTGTTTTATGTAAAGCGCATTGAGTTGCCATTGTGTATGAAATGCGCTATATAAATAAAGCTGCCTTGCCTTGCCTTGCCTTGCCTAATTGCTATTTTGTTTAAAGGGGATACCTGGTTGGTTGAGAATCAAACATAGAACCTCTGTCCAAGTCTGCCCCATAGATGAAGTGATGCTGAGTGAAAGGCAAGATATGCAAGTACCTAAATCTGACCCTGGTGGGACTTGAACCCACAATCCGCAGCTCCGGAGGGCCCTGTACCAACCACAACAATGTGTTGGTCCATTTGACTTTGTCATATGTTGTAATAACCTAAAGTGTTATCAAAGTTGAGAACATTTTAACTGTGGGCGATGCGAAAATGTGCTTCTCTGAGCTTATGATGCTTTGGCTTAGCATGGATCTCAGAGCGTAGCAGCGCAGAGGGTAGTGCTAACATTAGCACTACCCTCTTGAGCTTTGACAGTCGTCCCAAACACAAGGTTAGTAGCTTTACAGGTAATTCAAGGAACGGGTAGGGGTTCAACATCACAGGCTGAAAGCATTGGGGGTCTAACGTGGTTGTCCTTCACTTTAAGGTTTAGGCACATTTCTCATGAAGGCTCATGAGAAGAGATCATGATGTAATCAACATAGTTCAGGATATTCTGAAAGACAAACTATAATTGTATCTTCCATTTGTTTCTATTGCTGTCTGGCAGTATAGTGGCAGTATATTTTATTTATAAATTATTAATAAATGCAATTATATAATGTTTGCGGCCACAACATTTAACTGGAATGTGAGTGGTTGGCCACAAGCAGTTCTGAAAGGTCAGTGTCAAAGTTGAAAATATTTGAGAGGCGAAAACAGGCTTGCCGATTTTCTGGGCATGGTTCTCAGAACCATGAGAACCATGGTTGGGCTTGTTCGGCACTTAATAGACAATTCTGCCTCAGAACAGGGTAAGGGGAACACACATAAGCTTCCAAATGTGACCCAAATTTGAAAATTGAACCCACAATGCCCAGCTTTCATGCCTTATCCATTAGGCCACAGGGCAATGTGTCTTGATTAACACAATAACATTGACACCTTGCCTACACAAACAATTCAGTGACTTCAACAAACAATCTCAGGTAATTGCTATTTTGTTTAAAGGGGATACCTGGTTGGTTGAGAATCAAACATAGAACCTGGGGGTATTGCACAAAACCAAGATAAGGGATTAAGCCAGGATATGTTTATGGTTTTAGGTTATCCTGGCTGAATTTAGCCTCAAGTCGGTTGCGTGAAAGCAGCTCAAACTTAACCTGGCTAAGTTACCATGGTGATTTATTCTCTGCAGCTAGCCTGCTCCAGACCAGGCTAACAGCCAGACTAAGATTAATCCTAGTGATTCACCTGTATTTCCACCGTCAATCCTGTGAGGAATTAATGTGTTTTACAGCATGTCCATGGTCTTTCTAAGTATGTTGCATCATTTTAATTATCCTGCATTAAAATATTTACATATATATCATTGTCATTTCTCATTTAATTTAAATCTGTTGGCTGTTTTTTATATTGTGTTATTACTCAGGCCAAGTGTTATATTGCTATGCTAATGAAGACTGCTTGTCAAATTGCTGTCAGAGGTTTCATAAATATGTTTTATTGCAGTAATTGAGATTACAAAACACAGCTGATGAAGTTGCAAAGGTATTTTCAATTAAATCTGTGGCGAGGGCAATATAGTATATAGGTCCAACTCCCATTCACCTGTTCCCTCTTCATAATGGTTTGCCCTTTTTTGGAGGATGACCCAAGCCCGATACAGTTGAAGTCTATATTTTTTCATACTAATGACACATTTATGTTTGTGTTTATGAAAGTCTCCCTTTATTACGCAATAAACCTTTGCATCCAATAAGGAGCTGTTCAGCGGCCGTGACGTATGAAACATGACTTGTATCCATGTTCCGATCGGTGATTCTGTGAGCGATTGCGATGTCTATTCAAGATAGTGAAGCTAAGCGTTGAGGGAAAGCGCAACATATGTAAATACCTAAATATGACCCTGGTGGGACTCGAACCCACAATCCCCAGCTCCGGAGACTGATGCCTTATCCATTAGGCCACAGGGCCCTGTGTCCAGATACAATAACATTGACACCTCACCTACACAAACAATTCATCAGTGACTTTTATCTCGATTCTCAGGTAATTCAAGGAAGGGGTTTGCTATCTTGTTCAAAGAGGCTTTCTGGTAGGTTGAGAGAACTGGGGATCAAACCTAGAACCTCTTTCCAAGTCTGCCGCATAGAAGTTTACTGTTGAGGGTAAGACGGAGAATCAACTTTATTGTCTTTGCACAAGTACAATGAATTGTGATCTCTGCATGTAACCCAGGCACTAGCTAGGAGCAGTGGCAGGTCTACTGCCTTAAGGCCGCAGTATACTCGCCGTTCCCAAGCTGTCGCGCGACAATGTGACGTCACAGGAGCACGGTAACTATTTATACTCGCGCTGGTGGCCGCGACAGTAGTTAGTAGCAGTCTTCTCCTGAACAGAGGTGACGCCACTGAGGAAAGGCTACCGACTCTGCTATTTCTACGCAGTAGAAGAAGAGATAAGCTAATACTGGCACCCCTGTGTCTTCATTAGAATAGTTCACCGGGATGTCTTTCACTATACAGCATTATGTCTATTACTTTACATTGCTATTATTCTACATCACTGCCCCACCTGGTCAGCCATCAACAGTCCAGTGTATGGCAGCAGTTCTCATATGAATAGTGTTTGTAAGCATCCATCTTAATAACTTAGTGATTATCTTATATACTTTTATTTTATAACTTAATGCCGCTTTGAGATAGTTTTTCAGCCACGTAATTCCACTCGTCTTTGACCACAACAACAGTAGACAGCACTTACGTAAAACCACGGTTTATTAGCGAAAGAATATAGGCCTACACCACACAATAAAACAGAACATATAGAGAAAGAAGCCTTAGCAATAAGGCGCATTAAAATGTGCCTTCGAACTCGTCCGTGTTTGTTTCCGCTTTGTCGCGCGCCGCTGAAAAAAAAAGAGGTGCGCGACACGGCGCGATCGGGCCAAAATCCTGTCGCGCCGGCGAGATCTACATCATTTTGACGTCATAATGCCGCGCGACAGCTTGGGAACGGCGAGTATACTGCGGCCTTTACAGGCATCGGCATTAGGGGTTTTCTGGTAGGTTGAGAGCACTGCGGATCAAACCTAGATGGAAGATAGTGAAGCTAAGTGTTGAGGGAAAGCGCAACATATGTAAGTACCTAAATATGACCCTGGTGGGACTTGAACCCACAATCTCCAGCTCCGGAGGCTGATGCCTTATCCATTAGGCCACAGGGCCCTGTGTCCAGATTAACACAATAACATTGACACCTCACCTACAATTCATCAGTGACTTCTATCTCGATTCTCAGGTAATTCAAGGAAGGGGTTTGCTGTCTTGTTCAAATACGCTTTCTGGTAGGTTGAGAGAACTGGGGATCAAACCTAGAACCTCTTTCCAAGTCTGCCGCATAGATTTATTAACGGTTGAGGGTATGACGGAGAATCAACTTTTTTGTCTTTGCACAAGTACAACGAATTGTGATCTCTGCATGTAACCCAGGCACTAGCTAGGAGCAGTGCCAGGTCTACTGCCTAGTGCCTTACAGGCATCGGCATTAGGGTTTTTTTGGTAGGTTGAGAGCACTGAGGATCAAACCTCGATGGAAGATAGTGAAGCTAATTGTTGAGGGAAAGCGCAACATATGTAAGTACCTAAATATGACCCTGGTGGGACTCGAACCTAGCCTAGAAATCTAGACACCCCCTAGCGGCAGCAAATTTATTTGGCAGCTAGGTAGGTCTAGCACGGCTCCGTTGGCTTTTTGGTGCTGGAAACACAAAGTATGTCAGACCAATCACAGCGTGAGGGGCAGAGTCGAAAGCCGGGCTACCATGACGACAGAGTTGCGACGGTTCCGTGTTAGGTAAACAATGGCTGCTGCTGCTGGCGAACGGCTGTCTTTCCACTCGGCTTTGGCCGCGACTCTTCAAGACTTGAAGTTAACATTTTATTTGAGAAAAGAACAAAGAACGGCACTGAAGTCTTTCCTCGAAAAGAAATATGTATTCGGAGTTTTGATTAATTACGTAGTCAGAGCCGTCGCTCTGACTACGTCACCTTCTTCGTTGCTCTGATTAGTTGTAACGCTATCCTAATGCGTGCAGAGGGAACTTGAAAGACAACCGTTTATCCCGCCCACACTGCCAATGGAGCTGCGCCAGACCTTACATCTTTCTGATGTGGGTCTGGCTTGCCAGGCTAACTCGAACCCACAATCTCCAGCTCCAGAGGCTGATGCCTTATCCATTAGGCCACAGGGCCCTGTGTCCAGATTGACACAATAACATTGACACCTCACCTACAATTCATCAGTGACTTCTATCTTGATTCTCAGGTAATTCAAGGAAGGGGTTTGCTATCTTGTTCAAAGAGGCTTTCTGGTAGGTTGAGAGAACTGGGGATCAAACCTAGAACCTCTTTCCAAGTCTGCCGCATAGAAGTTCACTGTTGAGGGTATGACGGAGAATCAACTTTTTTTGTCTTTGCACAAGTCCAACAAATTGTGATCTCTGCATGTAACCCCCTAGCTAGGAGCAGTGGCAGGTCTACTGCCTAGTGCCTTACAGGCATCGGCATTAGGGGTTTTCTGGTAGGTTGAGAGCACTGCGGATCAAACCTAGATGGAAGATAGTGAAGCTAAGTGTTGAGGGAAAGCGCAACATATGTAAGTACCTAAATATGACCCTGGTGGGACTCGAACCCACAATCCCCAGCTCCGGAGGCTGATGCCTTATCCATTAGGCCACAGGGCCCTGTGTCCTGAGTAACACAATAACATTGACACCTCACCTACAATTCATCAGTGACTTTTATCTCGATTCTCAGGTAATTCAAGGAAGGGGTTTGCCATCTTGTTCAAAGAGGCTTTCTGGTAGGTTGGAGAACAAACCTAGAACCTCTTTCCAAGTCTGTCGCATAGAAGTTAACTGTTGAGGGTAAGACAGAGAATCAACTTCATTGTCTTTGCACAAGTACAATGAATTGTGATCTCTGCATGTAACCCAGGCACTAGCTAGGAGCAGTGCCAGGGCCGTGTTCCGATATCTGTGAGTACACTAACTTCCATGAGTACACTTAAACATAGTACACTATCCGCACTCAATAGGTACGCAGAGCTTCAGATGTTAGTGCTGTTCCAAATGCAATACTCTGTGGCGCACTTAACGGAAATGACATCAGCTGCGCGGCCGCGTCACCCAACAAACAGGTGAATTCATTAGACGTTCTCTGAGCGCGGCTCAGCCTGGCTCCGCCTCTTCCGCTAGGTTGCTAAGATGGCTGCCGTTGAGTACGCATAGTGTACCCCGTAGCACACTCAGCATTTTGGCCTTTTTGAGTACACATACGGGTCCTTTCAAGTACACTTCTTTTGCCGCGATCATAATCGGAACACCCTACGTACTCAAACTAAGTATACTAAGTACGGGTAGTACGGCTATCGGAACACGGCCTAGGTCTACTGTCTGCCTCCTAGATCCTCTCTCCAACTCCGCCCTTTAGAAGATAGTGAAGCTAAGTGTTTAGGGAAAGTGCAATATATGTACATACCTATATGACCCTGGTGGGACTCGAATCCCACCAGGGATAAGGCTGATGCCTTATCCATTAGGCTCACCATATGTAAGTACCTAAATATGACCCTGGTGGGACTTGAACCCTCAATCCCCAGCTCCGGAGGCTGATGCCTTATCCATTAGGCCACAAGGCCCTGCTTCCTGATTAACAAAATAACATTGACACCTCACCTACACAAACAATTCATCAGTGACTTTTATCTTGATTCTCAGGTAATTCAAGGAAGGGGTTTGCTATCTTGTTCAAAGGGGCTTTCTGGTAGGTTGAGAGAACTGGGGATCAAACCTAGAACCTCTTTCCAAGTCTGCCAAATAAAAGTTAACTGTTGAGGGTAAGAAGGACAATTAACTTTATTGTCTTTGCACAAGTACAATGAATTGTGATCTCTGTATGTAACCCAGGCACTAGCTAGGAGAAGTGCCTGGGGACAGATCTCCAGGGGCCTCATGTACGAAGACTTGCGTGGATTTCCTACTGAAACTTACACGCCAAAACCCCGAAACTGTCGTACGCACAAATAAATCCAGATGTATCAAAGTGTGCGTACGCATGGATCCAAGCGCGTTTCTTTTGTACATCCCGATCAACGTGGAACTGAGCGCATGTGCAGATGTGGCAAACTCCTCCCTGTCCACGCCCCCATTTAAATATGCAAATCCATGTAAATAGGCCCTGGACCTGAGATTCACCTCTATCCGATTAGATAAAACAAGCAAGTGTGGCACAGAGGATATTTATATATTATTGCCACTTACTTATTTTATATGTATGGACTTTATTTGGCATTTTTACAGACACCCCCCATTCAATTTTAAGCATTATTATTATTATTATTATTATTATTATTATTATTAAAGGCACGAGACCACCCGCGGCTATATAAACTGTGGGCTGCGCTGCGTTCTTCAGTCGGCAGTTAACCGGGACCAGTAAAGCCACTGAAGACCAGCCGACTCACTTGTCTTTTTGTTTAATTGATTCTTTCAGAATAACATCTTTTCTAAAATATGCCAACCCTTGAGTCAGCTTGCACTCTATGGGTGAAACACAAGCATGAACAAAGGAAAGAAAAGACATTTCACAGAGTCCGAGTTGGAGATTGTGGTGAATGACGTGGAGCCGCGGAGGGAGATTCTCTCTGGTCCCCTGTCAGCAGGGATCAATATGAAGAGAACAAGAAATAAGTGGGAGCGTGTGTGTGAGGCGGTACATGCCGTGGGGTCCGAGCAGCGCACACACACAGGTGAAGAAGAAGTGGTCGGATCTGAAGGTGGAGGTGAAGCGGAGGAATATTCTATGCGTCACTTTCATGCCGCACACTTGGAAGACCACTAGGTGGCACTGTTTTTGAGCAAATTCCGTAACGCTAATAACTCCCGCATACTTTGTCGCACATTCGAAATCGGCTGATGAGCCAATTGTCATCGTTTGCAAGTAAATCCTCGCGTTCCCTAAATACTCGCTCACGTCGGATTGCACCATTTGCAAGGTCCTCTAACAACGCTAACGCTGCCATCGGTAATACCATTTTCTTCATCACATTGCGCATGCGTTTATATCCACCCGTACGCACAAAAACGTGGCGTACGCAAAAAGAAAATGGCGTTCCACGCTCACGTTCAGATGTATGAAACGTGAAATGACCGTGGAAATGTGCGGTGCTTCACGTCAACTTCATAGCTGGCGTACGCACGTTTCTACAGCTATTATTCCTTTGGCGACACTTAGAGGTGACGCTGGGAAACTGTTAATAATGTCAAAAACAATTAGTCATCAGAGTGATGTGCACGTCAGAGACACAATGAAGAAAATGGTATTACCGATGGCAGCGTTAGCGTTGTTAGAGGACCTTGCAAATGGTGCAATCCGACGTGAGCGAGTATTTAGGGAACGCGAGGATTTACTTGCAAACGATGACAATTGGCTCATAAGCCGATTTCGAATGTGCGACAAAGTATGCGGGAGTTATTAGCGTTACGGAATTTGCTCAAAAACAGCGCCACCTAGTGGTCTTCCAAGTGTGCAGCATGAAAGTGACGCATAGAATATATTCCTCCGCTTCACCTCCACCTTCAGATCCGACCACTTCTTCTTCACCTGTGTGTGTGTGTGTGTGTGTGTGTGTGTGTGTGTGTGTGTGTGTGTGTGTGTGTGCACTGCTCGGACCCCACGGCATGTAGCCTACCGCCTCACACACACTCCCACTCATTTCTTGTTCTCTTCATATTGATCCCTGCTGACAGGGGACCAGAGAGAATCTCCCTCCGCGGCTCACGTCATCACCACAATCTCCAACTCGGACTCTGTGAAATGTCTTTTCTTTCATTTGTTCATGCTTGTGTTACACCCATAGAGTGCAAGCTGACTCAAGGGTTGGCATATTTTAGAAAAGATGTTATTCTGAAAGAATCAATTAAACTAAAAGACAAGTGAGTCGGCTGGTCTTCAGCGGCTTTACTGGTCCCGGTCCACAGTTTATATAGCCGCGGGTGGTCTCGTGCCTTTAATAATAATAATAATAATAATAATAATAATAATAATGTTTCAAATTGAATGGGGGGTGTCTGTAAAAATGCCAAATAAAGTCCATACATATAAAATAACACATTTAAGTAAGTGGCAATAATATATAAATATCCTCTGTGCCACACTTGCTTGTTTTATCTGATCGGATAGAGGTGAATCTCAGGTCCAGGGCCTATTTACATAGATTTGCATATTTAAATGGGGGCGTGGACAGGGAGGAGTTTGCCACATCTGCACGTGCGCTCAGTTCCACGTTGATCGGGATGTACAAAAGAAACGCGCTCGGATCCATGCGTACGCACACTTTCATACATCTGAATTTATTTGTGCGTACGACATTTTCGGGGTTTTGGCGTACGCCAAAATCCACGCAAGTCTTCGTACATGAGGCCCCTGGTCTACTTTCTGGTAGGTTGAGAGCACTGAGGATCAAAACTAGATCCTCTCTCCAACTCTGCCCTATAGAAGATAGTGAAGCTAAGTGTTTAGGGAAAGCCCAATGTATGTACGTACCTGAATGACCCTGGTGGGACCCGAACCCACAATCCCGAGCTCCAGGGGCTGATGCCTTATCCATTAGGCCACAACGCACTGTACCAAGAGATCAACATTGTGTTGGTCCATTCGATCTTATCATATGTTATAATAACCTAAATTGTTTTATCAAAGTTGAGAACATTTTAACTCTGGGCGACACGAAAATGGTCTTCTCTGTGCTTATGCTGCGTTCCTCCATAGAAGTGGTATGTTGAGGGAAAGGCAACATACCAAAATCCTAATGCAACCCTGGCAGGATTCAAACCCACAATCCCCAGCTCCGGCGGCTGATGCTTCATGGCCTTGTATATTGATCCACACAACAACATCGTGTCATGGGTTTATGGCATCATAATAACCGAAACTCTTTTATCAAAAGTGACTCACAGGTAATTAGGTAGCGGTACAGATTAGGCAACTTGCTTGCCTTCTGGCAGGCTGAGAGCTAGGCGTTGCCGATGTACAGTCCATCATTAGCTTGCATGGCATTCCCAACAAGTAGGTGGTTCTTGACACAATTAATCAACTCTGACACATTTTTTGTTCTTACATGATCATTCTGATTTCTTCTCACAATAACCTAAACTCCTCAGATGTCACTCACAGATAATTAGGTAGAGATTAGGTCAAAGTTTGGCAACTTGCTGAGAGCTAGGCGTTGCCAACGTCCAGTTCATCATTAATTGTGCTTGCATGGCAATCCCGACAAGTACTCTTGACACAGTTAACCACCTCTGTGTTACACCCCAGCCACTACACTCATTTCCTCCATAGAAGACTTGAGGGAATGGCAACATGCCAACAATCCCTAGCTCAGAGGCTGATGCCTTATCCATTAGGCCACAGGGCCTGGTGCTTAGTGTAAAGTAGGGTTGTCAATTAATTTAAGTCACTATTGTTTTCCCACAATAGGGGTGGGGCACAAGGCTGCCTAGGCGATCGCCTAGGGCGCCAAAATGTGTTGGGGGCGCCCACTAGTGGCGCCCTTAATTCCCATTTATCATTGAATTAGAACAAGAAGCGAAATGAAACATGTTTATTAAACATGGGGGGGGGGGGGGGGGGGGGGGGGGGGGGGGGGGGCGATTGCCCACAGCAATGATAACTTTCCCCTCCATTCTAAAATCCCCCGCTGCCGGCCGGCTTTATGACATATCCACGTGGGGTTGTATCACAAAGACGATTTCATTGGACAGAGTAGCGTCCCAGCAGGCAAGTGCACACATATGGCCCTAGGGGTGCTTGTGTAACCGCTGGGTTTCTGCGTTGTGTCTTTTTTCCCATTAAGTGAGGCACACACAGGAGTTGAGTTGGGAGGGTTTATTCCTTTTTAGAGGAGACAAAATACACGGGCGTCACACACAATCCATATAATCTCTCTCCACTCAGCTCCGAGCATCAGCGCTCACTCAAGCTATCTTAATATATTCTTATCTAATTATGAATACATGTGGAAGATAAATTATAAAACTGTAAACAAAGCATAAAACTGTCAAAGAAGTTAGTTAAATAAAAAACAGTATATAAAATATATACACCAATAAGGTAATACAAATATAATAAAGAAAGGTTTTTGTTACACAGTACATCAATTGTCTTTTTTTTTCCTCACACAACTCATTTTATGTTTTATACAATAAACAATATCAAAACACATAACAGGCATACCTTTTTAGAGGAGACAAAATACACGGGCGTCACACACAATCCATATAATCTCTCTCCACTCTACAAAATAAAGAAAACAAAATTAACTACACATTAAATCATACGGCTGCATTCAAAATATCAACACCGACATGCAGCGATCTTTTCCTCATACTAAATCCCACGCGGTCGGGAAACCCCGTAGTAACGTGCCGCTAGCTTAAGACATGTTGACAAAACATCGCACACAATTAAAAGTCCGTTTTTTAACAAAAGTTGAATGACTGAAAGTTGTCTGTACATCGGGAATTTCTCCCGTATACCCAAAAGCATATCACAAGGCAGTGTGAATTACTATAAGGATGACAATTGAAAAGAGAGATATAAACGTAACCTACCAGCTCCGAGCATCAGCGCTCACTGAAGCTAGACACACAGGTGCAACGCCAAATTACTCCCCAGGGAAACAAAAGGTATGCTATGGAAAATAACCATGTGGAACCAATTTACATAGGAAACAATTTTGGGGGAGTTCACAATACAAAAAGAATGTGAAAAATAAAAATAAAAATACATTTAAATAAAATTCAATAAAATTCAATTTAGCTCGGTTACATACTCCCCTCTGAACTTCACCAAAATACTTAAAAGGAACCCCGGCTATGTAGACTTGTAGGCCCTAATACGCCACTATTGTTCTCTTGTAGTAAAATATGTTGTTAGAAGCACATAAAATATTGCCATTTCTTTAAAAAGATATAATATGTAGTACATATTTTGACCTACGTACGCCGCCATGTAATCCGCGCGCAATGCACTATGGGATCGATGACGTAGAATGGTTGCGCTTGGTAGAATAGCTATTGACGTTAGTGCTTGTTTACCCGCGTAGAGTTAGAGTAAAAGTTTTTAAGAGTTAAGTAAAATGCCACATTGTGCTGCTTTTGGGTGCGACTTCCAGTCAAAAGCCAACAAGGGGAGTGATGTGAGTTTACACCGCTTTCCTACTGACAAGAAGATGAGAAAGAAGTGGGAAGATGCCTGTGGACGGACACAATTTCCACAAGATCCGCGGCTGTGTTCACAACATTTTTCTCCCGACGCATTTGAGGCTTTTAGTCGACCACAACTGCTGAAAGAGCTCGTCGGAGCGGCTGGGTATAAACGAAGACTACAATCAAATGCTTTCCCGACAATGTTCTCACATAAGGAGCCTAAACGTATACCTAAACCTATAGCATCATTATAACACAACGGTTATGGAAAATAGAACGACAGTACATTGAATTAAATTGCAATGAAGTTACAAACGATCCGCAACATTAAGAGAATAGGCTCCGAAACAGATAAACAGGGGCCGGGATCCCACCTCCCTCACTTTCATTGCGCCGTTAGACTCCTTGGTCCGTGTTTCAAGACGGGTCGGGTGGGTAGCCGACATCGCCGCCGACCCCTTGCGCCAGTTGTACGTGTCTATGATTGTGATTATGTCTATGATTGTGATTGTCTATGATTATACACATATGATGTGCACACCAGCATTTTTTACATCCACATTGGCTTTAAAAAGTTGTTTAAACATTGCAAGACATTAAAGTGCTCATGATGAAATGCATTAAAATGTTTTAAATGTTTAATTGAAATCTCTCCATGATTCATCTACTTCTGTATCATCAATATCTACATCCTCAAACCCTGTATAGATTCCACTTGGTTCTGGGTAGACATTTCTTATTTTGGTAACTGCACATGCAGGAATGACTGCGGATTCTTCTCCCTAGTCTGCCATGCATCCACCATGTAAACTGCCGATATGAGGCATATCTGTAAGACCTGCAACCAGAGCATTCATCTTTTTAATACTTAACATTAACTTTTGTGGGTTTTCATCTGAGGACTTGAGTTACTGATTGAAGCTAATAGATAAACAACAAACATCCTACTATTGATATAGAAAAATAACATGGTCTTTCTATAGATATGTCAACAAATGTATACATGTGCAAAATAAGGTAGGCTATCTAATAAGGCGGGACCACTGAGCAATCTGGACAGCTCCGTAGCTGCTCTTAGCTGACCGGCAGGAGGATCAGCAACCCGGACATCGAGCTTTGAGGCTACCTATTGGTGACCCGGTTCCGATTGGGAAGGGCAGCACTCTCCCGGTCGTGGAGGCTGTTTCGCTCGGGTTCAAATTGAAAAGGCTGAATAGATTACATGTTTATGTCACTGTATAGTCTCAACCAGAGCCGTATATTGGGAAAATAATAAGTTCGCTAGTCTCAACAGGGTTTCCGAAGCCGGCAAGTGCAACCATATGACGTCACTACCCAGACGTTAACAACAATGGCGGCCTACGAGTTAAACTATTTTTTACACATTTTATAAAAACGAAGACATTAAGACGGTTTTTTATATCACTTTATAATAATTGATACTAACATTTATCTTTTAAGAACTACAAGTCGACATAGCCGGGGTTCCCTTTAAATACTTAGCAGAGTACTCCCATACATTCACGTTATGCAACTCATTAGTTACTCATATCACTGAGAAAATGACCGAGGAGGGCTGCGCATCCCTCCTGGGTACACTTGCAAAAAAAGGGTGCCTTTTACACCACCTTACACATTACTTCATAAAAGGTAATACAAAAATATACCTTTCACAAGACAAGGAGTATCTAATAATTATCACTGCTACTTAACACATGTTCAACCCAAACACTGGATTAAAGAACTGTCTAATAGTATTGGATGGTTCACAGAGGTTTATTACTCAAACTAGTATTTTCTTATGGGTCATGTTCTGAATGAGTTTATCTACAGGTTTCACCAGCCTGCCCACCCTTGTTCTTATACGGGAGACAACACTGATCGCTGTGCTTGGGGGGTCGTTGCCATGGCCTGTCTTATCAACCACACTGGATACACTCATTGGCCTCTGGCTAACACTTTCACCTAGATCAAGCTCTTCATCAGCGTCAAGACATCCCGATGGTGGGTTGGCAGAAGTACTGTCCAGGACCCAACTGGTTGTTCTGTCTTCTGTTACACCACCTGTCGCCACATCCGACAAGTGACTTTGTGTCTCACCGTGGCTCGACTCAGATGACTCAATGAACGATGATTCAACATCTTCTTCTTCCGACTCGAGTGGAAGAAAGTTTGCGCACAGGAGGCGGTTGCGATGCACAACCTTTTCACAGCCACTGCTTGTGTTCCTTATCCGGTAGGTATGACACTTTGGATCTCTTGAGACCACCACATACGGGACAGACTCCCATTTGTCCGACAACTTCTTGCGTCCCCTTTCACATTTGTTTGACAAGAGCACTTGATCTCCCTCAGCGATATCATGACCTTTGGTCCTTTTGTTGTACAGTTCAGCTTGGTACTGCTGACTGGT